TGGCTTTTTCGTTGATTTTTAGCCTGTATATCAACATTTTATTTTTTTTCTCGAAAACGAATGAAGTTATTCTAAAATCGATCCTTAAAGTTGTTAAGAACATCCATAAGAATATTATAAAAAAATTTCAGGTCAAAAAATAAATTTTTACAAAAGGAGTAGGACTTTAAAATTTTTCCCAATTTTCTTCAAAAAATTTAAATTTTTAAAATTGTGTGAATAATATATGAAAATTTTCATCTGGTAACATTTTCTTGAATAGAAACATTGTATAAAATGTTAAAATATAATTTTTAAATACGTAAATAATGAAGTTTGCTCAAAGGGTGCCAAGTCCCCTTAAGAGAGAGAGAGAGAGGCAAGGGCTATAATAATGTTTTTTTTAATATTTCATATGAATCCTTACATTTAAATACCTTATAAAAACGGTATATACATACATAAAACCAGGGCTTTGAACCAAAACTGAAAGCAGTTTTAAACAATATGCAAATCCTTAAACTTAGACTATCTTGCATTTTCTTTTAATCATTCGCCTAATAGTTAGTATTTTGCTCCGTAATCTGAGATCTTGAAATATATTAGAAGCAGCATACTTAGCATTATATATTTTTGCATACACATACATTGTGGAAAGTAACAGACAACAACATACGTTCTGAAACCTAAAAATAAGTTATAAAAACAGAAAACATCCTATTTTGAGTGTAGTATTACGATCAATATATTGAAGGCCTCAAGAGTCCATGTATCACGAAATCATTTTTCTTTCTAATAAAGATATATCCTTCTGCTATATAATTAGTCAGAGGGAGAAATGACGTATGATACCAATAGCTAGTTTACACAGTGCGACAGAACATAAAGTAAATGAGATATGGTCATCAAATAATGTTTTATGAACCTGAAGTGAAGTTTTTATAACATCTTTCATTTTACAAATTACCATCATTCATCATGAAAACAAAGATAAGTAGCACGTAAGCATTTGAGCTGTAGACTTCCATCTTGCCGATCAATGGCGTCGGTCTGTTTGACTTATCACCCAAGAAGTCACTTCTTCAACAAAAGTCAATGATTCATCTTGAGCTATGACAACATTCCTCTGATATAACAGAAATATAAATGACATATGTCGTCCAAGACCATAGGTAAATATGCTTCCAAAGACGTGAACTTTGTTGTCTTAACTTCGAACAAATGTGACAGAGTACTATTGTTTCTGATTAAAAGCACTGGGAATGTTCGCTTGAGCAAATATTTTGTTCACCACCTAAAATAGATATGAAAGACAATTTCTGTAAGTAGAGATGCCTATCGTGTTTGATTCCCTCGAATCTAGTTTGAGTCATTTCGTTAGATTTTATGTATAGTGAAGTGGTTGTCATAAATTAATTTAACCTTGAAACTGTACATAAAGCAATTACTATAAATAATTATCATTAATGTAACACATACTATATAAGTTAATCCAGTGCTTCTCAAACTTTAAATAATCACGCCCTAATATTCAATCATCATTTTCATCACGCCCCCATCCCCCTCCATACAATAACAATGTATTGAATTCGATAATACGATACTTTGAAGCTAAATCTAAAACATGACTTTAACCTCTTAAGTACCACCGGCGTAAATAAACGTTTCGCTCAGCCAATGCGTAAATTGCGCTAGGCCTATTTATACGTCTTTCCGAAGTACGATCTTTTTTATTCACTGCTATCCATAAAATTATTTCGAAGGCTTTGGAATGCAATAAAATGAATTCCACAGTGCTTGCGAAGGATTTACTTATTTCAGACGATTTTCTTATTTATTCCCTCTGTCTCCTCCTCCCCAATACATTACATACTTTTACATATATGCAAAACGGTGGCATGGGGGAGTGAATCGCGTAACTTTTAATCTAGAGTTAAGGGATTATTTATAAACCGTGCAGATTATCAAGATAAGTTTTAATGCTTGTATGTAATTTTATATATGAAAATCCCATGCAGTCATTGGTAATTATTGAACTTATTGATAATTTGGTATAGTTAAATTAATAATCAAAAACATTGCGCAGTACTGATACATTTATAAGTGTATTACATCTGTGTAAATGTTTTTATTTTATTTTTTATTAAGTCAGAATGTATTTTGCTTATTTACTTTCAGTAAATTAATAGTTTTTTTAAAAATTATCTTTTGTTTTCAACTTTTCAATATGCTCGCGCCCCCCTTCTAGGGATATCACGCTCCCCTAGGGAGGCGTGCCCTACAGTTTGAGAAACGCTGAGTTAATCAGCTAGAAAGGATACGTTTTCGTTTTTTAACCCCTTGCTTGCCGAAAAAATTAAGCAATTCCCTCCCGAACGCCACCGTTTTTTTTTACATAGCGCGCGTGTATTACGGAGGAGAGAAGAAAATAAACAAATTAGTAAATTTCTCTCTGAATTAAGTTAATCCTTCGCAAAAACTTGTAATCTTCACTTTTTTACTTTCTAAACTCTTCGAAATAGTTTTATAGATATCAACGCAAATAAAAGTATCCTGTTTAAAAAAAAAACCCGTATATATAAGTCAGGTAATCAATGTACTGGTTGAGTAAGATGAATATATACGTCGGTGGAAGTTAACGGGTGATTATAAATTGAAGAGTCAGATTTTCAGTGCATGAATTCTCACCTACTAAAAAATGAGTATATATAATTAAAAATAAATCAAGTAGTTTTTTTTTTTGCAAGTAATAAGAAAATTAGAGTTTAGTTTTCAAAAACGTCTTCTTTCAGCTTATATTTCTAATTCAAATCATCCATGTGAATTGCCGAAAAAAGATATTCAAAGACTAAATAAATGTATGTTAGTTATAAATACTTCAATATACAAACTACTCATGATGTTTCATTTAAATTCGTCTTATAATTTTTTTTATTATATGTTGGACACAATTAAGATTTTATTATTTATGCACTACTTATATGGAGGAAAATTAATCCTTTAAAGCAGTGGTCTTAAAACTTCATAGACAGATTAAACCTTTAAAACTGTAAAGTGTTTCCGAAAAACTCAATTAAAAATACTTTAGAAGAATAAATCTTTAAATACTATTTAATGTATATCAACACAGTATAAGTACTCTATGTAAAGACAATTAAAGAAAAATACTCGAATTTTCATTATTGTTTTTTAACACAATATTAATGCAATTTACTCATCAATACCATTAATTCATGCATCTAGATGTCATATACCTTTGCAATATATTTTTTACAAGATATGCGTTTTCATTTTTTTATACAACCTTTCGAATTCTACGTGTATTGAAGCTATCTACAATTGCATTTCGTATTCTGTGTTAATTTGTTTCCATATTTTATTTTTGTCAACAATAAACATTTCTTTCCAAAAATAAACGTAATACATATTTCAACAGATTGAACTGATACTTGAAATTTTTTCTGATGAAAATAGGAAGAACAAAATTATCAATTTATGTGTATGATGTAATATTCTTTTACAAAACATGCATACTTTTGTATATTGATGGAATTTGTAGTACATTTTAAAATAATGAACAAATACTTAAAAAATGACCTTTTCCCCTGATTTAATGTAAATAAATTGCTAAATTATTTCAAATTGAATGTAAATTTTAAATTATGCACTCACTAAAAATTTAAAAGCTTTAACTGATAAGAAACCTCTTTCATTATTTCAAATATTCCTTTTGCAAGCAGCATTTTCTAAAGTAGAAAAGAGAAAAATCACAATCAGTTAATGGGAGGTGAAATTATACAAAATTGAGTGAATGTTTAAATATTCATGTATTAGATTTATCCACGAAAGCGCAAATTTCCCAAACAGATTGATAATGTGAATTATTTTCTTTATTGTAATAAGAGATATATTCTCTGATTATTTTTATCAATGGAAATAAAACAAGAATTCACTTTTTTACTTGGTTAAATTTATTTGTTGCGGAAAATATCTGATTTTATTTATTCTAAGAAAACGAGAAAAAAGTGTATTTTACGAACATCAATACTTATTTAAATACTCAATAACAAAATAAAGGGATAGTTTACAAAATAATAAGAATTAAGAATGAGAACTTTTCATTATCTAATGAAAAATAACAGGATACTTTAATATGGTGATTTTGTTTGGTGTCGCAATTTTGAACAAGCATATAAATGGAAAGTTTTTGTATTTAGGGTCACGAATTATTATATAAGAATTACTTAAGAATACTATCAAAATAAACAATTACTAAATGCAATTGTTTGGGGAAAATAAAATAAATTATATATCTTAAAAGCATCTTCTTTTTTATTGAAAATATTCCTATAAAAATAATATTTGGCCTTTATAAAACTAGGCATTCTTTACTGGGATTGAACTAAATTTTTTGAAAATATGGAAGTGGATTTATTCATGTTTTATTATATTAGAGTAGATAAATTTTAACAAAAATCATTTATTATTATTTTCATTGATCGTAAATTTGAAATAATGCGAATTTTTCAGAAATTCTAGTTCAACATCGGTATAGAAGTTTAAGCTATATATAGGCAAACTATTATTATTAGAGAAGTATTTTGATAATAAAAGAATGTGTTTAGAGAAATAATAAAAGAATGTGTCACTTTTTTTCAATTTTTGTCAAAAAATTGTATTAAATTTTTTTTCTTGCAATAATATTCTTAAAACAGTCAAATGTGTATACTAATTAGTATACGCGTTGTTTCCACGTGTGGATTAAAAATAAAAGAACGGAGATTGAAGGATGGAGAAATTTTTAATGAGTTAATTTTAAGTGAATTACAAATTAAACAAAACAAGTAAGATAACTAAAAAAAAATGAGTAAATTCAGACTTAGGTCAACAAAGAAAATTTTTAATTTAGTTACTTTTTATTAAATAGTTACAAATATAATAAATATGAATTGATTAAATTTAATTATTATAATAAAATAGTACAGTAAAAAAAAGGAAAACAAATTCTCAGAAATTAGTGCCATCCCTGGTGGAATACGATCCCACGACCATTGGTTTCAAATTCCAACGCGCTATCCACTGCGCTACAGGGACACAACGATCGATTTTATTTTCTATTTATGTTGTTGGACTATTATTTTTGTATTTTGCTATTTATTCAATCCTTAATTAAATAAATATTTGAAAAAAATTGTATTAACATCAAGTGTCAATACAGTTTAAAACTACAAGTTTAAAAATTGCATTTAAGCTTGAATGGAAGAATGGGAAATATATTTTATTAACGATTGGAAATTTGAACAAGATATACATACATATAAATATATTTATATATATATATAGGTGGTGAGTGAAAACTAATAGTATAGGAATTGAAAAAAAGAGAAGTAGATACATCAGTTAATTTTTTTTTATATTTTGGGGTGAAAAATCATTTAAACACAATTTGATATTAAATACAATATTATGCTAATTGTAAATTACCTTAAAATAATTTCATAGAAATAAACAGATTATCTAAAAAATTTAAAGCAATTCTGATTTAAATAGTGAGAAATAAAAACAAAATAATTTTTCTCTCAAAACTACGAAAAATAGTTTCCTTTATGTATTCCAGGAATACACATTTGGTATATCTGTGCTCCTAACACTTAAAACTGTTTGGCTACAGTTTCCCCTATTTCCTAACAAGCCATTTAAAGTAGTTTCATAATAAGTTTGCAGATGCAAATTTCTGTGGTGTTTAATACTGTAAGATTCGCCATTAGAACGAGAAAGTAGTTTGCTAAACTTGCGTTTGAAAGTGTTATGAGGAAAGTTTGAATTTTGAACCGTATTTATATTAAGGATCACGTCTTCTAATTAGGTAAGATAACTTCACTTGTCATACATTTGCCTAATGCTGAATTACGTGGGAGTGCAATTAAAGAATTGCTTCAGGGCAGAAGACCTTTGAGGTTTCAGATATTAGGATACTTTGCAATTTATCATTAATTTAGGCAAGCTTGGTCACAATTAATTCGCATACAAAAATAATATGATTTCTATAAAAAATAATTTATCTTTCTATTTACAAAAGGGAAAGTAATTCAATATGAAAATAAAACATAAATGCACCGAACATTTCAGTTTTACGCGCTTGTGTATAACACTGGCATAAACTTTCGAATTGCAGTTTTTAATTTTTAAGGAATCTTCACCGTATACGGAGTGAATCCTCTTTTTTTTCCGAAAAAACCTGAAATCTACATGTGCGATGCTTTTTTCTTTTGAAGTCATTTATTCGAAGTATTATCCCATTCGCTTGGACAAAGGTATATTTCTAAAGTGCAAGGAAGTGGGGGTGGGAGGAAGTAAGGACAAAAGTGGTGCCATTGTATGGGATTTTCCGCATTCTAGATTATTGCCTATATGATGGCTAGGTGGCGTAATCGGTTAGGCTCTGGCCTTGTAAGTTCAAGTTTGCGGGTTCGGTCCCGGCCAAAGTTGGTGGATTTTCATGATGCAAAAAAGGCACATCATCCATGTTGTATGATTATGTAGCAGGCTTAAGTTTCTCAGAGTGCTTGTTTGGCTTAGGTATTCTTGGCATCACTAAATTCCTATTAAGATTTAGCATCTTCAGATTCAATTTGTATCCATCTTTATAAGGGCACACTAAAAGAGAGAGAGAGAGAGAGAGTGATACCAGCTACTAGATCTGCAATTGTTTTTACCAATACGTAGCTCTCTATTTGAAAGACGGAAAGAAATATTATGTATATATTTTAGATATATTTTTTATGCTCATATTTTCTTTATTTTGTTAAGCTACTGTATTTATATGTGACGCACCATACGCATACGCAACTTTAAATTGTTTTATGTGTTAAATGTGCTCATTACACGCCGGATTATACGGTACCTCACAATTAAAATAACATGACCTCAATAATAAAAGTACAGCAATATACCTATTTTTTTAAACATTTTTGCAGATGCAATGTACAGGGACTTTGAAACTTCAATATATTAGTATTAATATCCGTTATTTCTCAAAATCGCAAAAAATTGGATAAAGATATAACTAATACACGTAGAAATAAATATAATTTACGATTGGAACATAATTCCTAATTAAAATGAGCTGTAATCAAAATAAAAATAAAAATGTTGCTCCCAACTGAAATAAGTAGTTACTTTTAAATAAAAGCATGTAAAATACCAAAATGTACATTTTTATAAATATTTCATAAATATTCATGTGACTTTTATACTTTAATGGCATCTTGTATGAAAATACATGTTAAAAAAAATAATTTATCTTAAAATACATGTAGGTCTACAATAAATAGGCAAATACAATAAATAGTTTTGTTACTGAAATAAAAATAAATTTTATTAAAAATTTGAAAAAAATGCGGTTTAATCGTTGAAATCCGAAATACAATTTACAGAAGCAACAGAAAAATATTGCTTGCATTATTAATATGTGTATTAGAGAACAAGACAGCAATTGTAGAAAAAAACTGTTAATGATTTTGTGAATAATTAAATGTATCAGTTTTAAATACAAAAATATCAATCGCAGAAATTAAGGTGCAATTATTAATTACAGAATTAAAAAAACAATTCACTTAAATGTTCCTTATAATACATAAATTATTAAAATATCCTTTCTTGAAGTAAAAATCTATAACTAGTGTGTTTTTACGCTTAAATGTTTGACCTATTTAATTTGATTTTTATTTTATTAATCATTATATGACATTTCAGAAATTTCTGTACACTTACTGTAATATTTCTTTATTTCAAATTTTTTACTTTTCTTATCACAAGTTTTTCCACATACATTATACTTCCTTTATCACAAATGTTTCGCATACTTCACATATGTTCCTTTACAAAATATGTATGAGAAAACCATGGTTGCTACAAAATCATTACTCTACATAGCATTAAATATAAATGAGCAATCCTATTTAAAGTTAAAACATGAAGAATGTGAATTTTTTAATTAATTTTTATCAAAACATTTTGTTCTATGATTGTACAGTGAAAAAAAGAACTCTTGAGTGTTTGTGTTAAACAAACAGGTTTTCGTTAATTTAAATCATAATCATGAACTCATTATTAAGTCAATACAAATATTTTTTTTTATAAAATGATAAAGAATATAAGGGGTACAACAAATAAATGTATTTGATTATCATTGCTTAAGTTTATCATTAAACTTTCCTCATAAATCAGATTTAAATTATGTTTCTAACTTTCCAGTTAAGGAAAATATTAAATTCTTAAGTTAGAAAATATATAGATATTGATAAAATTAACTTATATTTTTTTTTAAATATTATGAGTATTAGTGATTTTGAAGTAATATAAATAAATTTAAATTTGGTGAAAATTTCATGTTTCCTAAGCGTTAACGAAAGCGTTTTTAAATTTTTGCTTTAATTTCTACAAAAATATTTACCCGCTTATGCAATAAAAATGCTTTAAAAATCGTACCCCAATTAACAAAGCTCGTTTTAATTAGTAAATGTGTTTCGTAGTAATATGTCATGTTAATTACATTCATTATCTTTCACTATTGATTTATTTTAGACTAAAAGATTTTCTTTGCTAATAAAATTCATCGGTTTTTTTGTTTTGTTTATAGACAACGCAAGTAAGATTTCTTTTTTACATTAACTTTTGTATTATTTTAAAATTAATGGCAACATAAGGATCTCTTTTTTATTATTTTATTTCTCTTGTATTGTCTGCATCCATTTTATGCTTAGATTTTATCTGCTTAAAAACTATCCAAACTTTTCATTACAAAAGATTTATTTATATTCCTTATACTTAAACTCAAAAAATAATTTTTATAGTAACAATACCAACTATTTCATTTCATTTTGTAAAGCTAAGTATTAGTGATTCCATTCTCATGAATTTAGTATTCTTTATCTCGAACACTATCATGTAGAATAAATCAAAACTTTCTCGCCAAACTTAACAGGTCATCAAGTTTCTCATGTTCCTCACATACTATTCAAGCTTAGGTTTGGGAATAAGTCCAATTCCTTTCGTGTAGCACACGATGGTGTCAAAGTGAGCTTTGTTTTGCATAACATTACATGAAAACATAACTTTCCGTTTGGTATATTTAATGCATCTAGTATAAATCACATAAGTGTAACAGTTGGAGACCCTCTAACATATGTTTACCATATTGTATTGTGAAAAGGTCTGTAAAACAAAACTCGCAAAGATTTTTTGTTAATGTTTTAAATGACATATCTATACTTAAGAATTTAATACTATTTTCAAGGTACCGTTTGTGAAATGAAAAATTATTCATACTGAAATTAAGTTCTTGTAAATGTTATCTTTGAAATGGTTAGAGCTAAATAAAAATAACATTTTCTCTCGCTTCTTCGTTTCTCGTGATTAAATGATCAAATACGGATATAAAAATAATCATCATCACATTTGCTTTCTCGTTTTCGTACCATAATCTGATTATTTTGTTTTTGTTGCAGATGCAAGCAAATTTGATTAGTAGGCTAGTTAGAACAAAATGATACCAAGTTTTTATTTTTGGCAAGTACGTGGTTTTATTACAACGTTACAAATAAACAATAAATTCTTTTCAATCATTTATTGTTAATATATAATGTTGAGATAACAGAGAAAAGAGGTTTTCAAGATAGCGTTGTACTCAATTTAATGTTTATTATTGTTAAAACAATATCCAAAAATAATAAAAAAATCCAAAAGTAAATAAAAGTAACTTTATTATTATAAATAGTAAAGACAAAATGATTTTACAGTATTTAAAAAAGACAAACTACTGTAAATGAATTCCAGTTATGGAGATTTTTTCTAGCAATTGAAATTAAATGAATGCTATATAAGATCTTCACCAATGTGTTGTCTTACCATTGCGTTGTGTTACCAATTTCGTTTTGTGTAGCTAGCTTTACAATGGTATTCATTCAAATTAATTCATATATTAATTAAATATTTCCAAAGAATGCTCTTGTTTTTCAAATCCAGTACAAATTTGGAACGTATTACACCAAAACCATGTGTTTGATACAATAAAAAAAAATGGAATGATCTTT